AGATTTCAAAACAAAACTGTATCAGGAATCAAAAGTAAATACTTCCATCATGAATTACCGGAAAATTGCTCTAGTTTCGGCAGACGTATTTGCTTTTATTATTTTAAATAAAATGAGAAAGAGAAGGTGAACTTTGTGGAGTAGGAAATGGTTGCTCAGGAGGAACACCGGCAGGGATTTGGCTCATCTTGTCCATCAAGAGCTGCGATATGAAGATGAAAATGGATTTCAAAACTTCGCCAGGATGTCGATACAAACTTTAGACAAGCTAGTGGGAAAAGTTCTCACTAGATATACATGATTCCTTGAGTTCTGAAAATTTCTGTTAACAACTCAATTCTGCAAGGTCTTCAAACCTTCTGACGTCCCTAAAGTTTTGTTTCTGTTCTCCGGTAAAATTTCCTTAAAAATCAACAATCTTTCCTGACAATCTGCAAATGTCTCGGTAGCTCTACATATTTCTTTGAAGTTCTGTGTGTTCTTCAGAAGTTCAGCAAATTTTCCTAAAAACCTACAAAGTTCCTGAATCCCTGAAGATTTAAGATCCTTGAAGATCAACAATTATCTCTGATGTTCACAACATTTCTAATAATCTACAAACTTCTCGAAAGTTCTGTAATTTTCTCTGCAGATTTTCATGATTCAATGATTATCTGCAAATATCTCTGAACATCTATACAATTTTCTAAAGAATTAAAAGATTATCTAGAAATTTTTGAACTTTCCGGAAGTTTTAGGAAGTATTCTGAAGTTTTTCTAATTTTTCTGAAGCTGTGAAAATATCTCTAAAGAACAGCGAACTTACCTGAAGTTCTGTGAATGTCTTTTAAAATCCAAGAACCGCAGTAAAATTCTGAAAATTTATTTAAACATCTGCTAATTTTTGAGTAGATTTACGACCTACCCTCTGAACTTTTCTAAAGTTCTTAAAATTTATTTCAAATTCTGTTAAGTTTTCTGAAGTAATGTATTTCTGCTCTAAAGATCTACGAACTGCCCTGAAGTTCAATAAATTTCACAGTAGATCTCCGAACTTTTCTAAAGTTATTTAAATTTCTTTGTGGATTCTTGATCTTAAGATCGGCGAACTTTCCCGAAGATCTGCGAGTTTTGCTGAAGTTTTGCAAATTTTCCTAAAAACGTACGAATTTTCTGACGTTCTACAGACTTCTCTTAAGGTCTACGGACTTCTCTGAAGTTCTTTAGATTTATCTATTTCCGACTTCCATGGAGTTCTGCAAAATATTGTACTTTTGTACTTCGCTGCGATTTGTTTTTGGAATTGAGGTGCTTTTCTGACATTTAACGAATTTTTCTGAAGATCTCACATTTGTGTGAAACTGTGAAACTTTCCGTCAAATTCCTGCAAATATCTTTAAAGTTCTGTAAAGTTGTCTTAAGCTCCGTAGCTCTATTCCCAAGATCTACAAAAAAACTTGAGGCTCCATAAATTTCTCAGTAGATCTGCAAACTTCTCTGATGTTTTGTAAATTCCTCTAGGGTTACCCTGAAGATTTGAAAATTTCCTTGAAGATTACCTAAAGTTGTCAAAATTTATCAGAAAATATTTGAGCTTCCTTGAAGTATTAAATGTCTCTCTCAAGATCTATAAATTTTCCTGAAATCGTATAAATATTTATTTTTTAAATCCCTGAAGTTCTGCAATTTTTACTGAAGATCCATTAACATTTCTGAGATTCTTGTGATTTTTCAGAAGTCCTGTGATTTTTTTCAGAGTTCTGTAGCTTTGTTCTGAAGATCTACGAACTTTTGTGATGTTGAATAATGTTTCGAGGATCTCCAAACTTCTGTGAAATACTTCATATTTCACTGTAGATTCTTGGACTTGTCTGAAGTTATGCGAATTTCCCTGAAGATTTGTAAAATTTCGCTTATAGTTTTACAAATTGATTTGAAATTATTTTTGCTTGCTTGAAGTTTTGAAAATTTCTCTGAACATTTATCTGAAGATCTACGACCTCTCTTGTGATTTTGTTTTTTTATGAATTTCTGTTAATAACTTTTAATTTGTTTGTAGTTCTGTTCTCAAGATCTACGAACTACCCTGAAGCTCAACAAATTTATCAGTAGATCTCCGACCCTCTCTGAAGCTCAAAAAAAATTCTATGTTGGGTCTCAGACCTGCTGTCTGGCATGCTTATTCTTATACAATACATGCTTCGTATGCTTCCTTTTGACGGTTGCCAGTGTCTCTTTTTCGGCTTGTTGACATTAACAGGTGTTGAATAAAAAATGAGATTTTTTTCAGTCATAAAGCCACTAAAAAAAAAATTTTTTCCAAACGAATTCAGTATTTTTTTTATTAAAAACATAATGTTTATTCTTCAAAAAAAACGTCAATGAATATTGGAGAAGGGGCCCTGGTCAGCCGTACGACGCAACTTAGTCGCGATGCTCTCACAAGAGCGCTGGACGGCACTTAAATCATTCTCATTTTTTATTGAACACCCGTTAGATAACGACATTTAATGTATTTTTAAAACATTTGTCCACAAACAAAAGTTTTCGATTTAAAAAAAATTCATGTGGGGTCTGGTGGGGCAAGAGAGCCACCTTAACAATTGTACGTTCTATAATGCCAAATAGTAGATTTTATAGGAGTTTCTACACCGTATTGCAAGTTCATATTTTTGCCTTCATGCATCATCAATGTAATGCAAATTAAATCTCGTCCAAAGTTGTTTACGATTTTCTCAAAATGTCATATCAAATCTTTTTTGAAACTGCAATGGGGCAAAAGGGTTATGCGTCTTAAATTGAGTGAAATCGATTAATGCTTATATATAATCATTGTCTTTTGAATATTAATCATACTAGCAACAGCGGTTATCGTTTACTCAATTTAATTCAATATTATTCAATACATAACAAATACCCTTTCGAGTTGACAATTGGGACACTGGAAATCTTAGACGGTGGTTACATTCAATTATTCCTAATGTTTCTTCGAGAGCGTTCTTTAAAGGCTTTGCCTTAGGTCGCGACTTCATTCGCGTGATGAGTAGGCTTATGTCCAGCCACTACTGGTTAGATGCGCATCCTCACGACCTCAAAAGCATCATCAATAATTACCATTTTTTACACAGGCTCATATTTTTGGGTTATGAATCAACCTGAGGTGGCCTATTAGATGGCAAATACTATTATCAAAAGGAAGCACCCAAATGTACAACAACATTACATTCTATCAATATCGGTCAAAATTGAAGTCGAGAACATATCCAACTCAAACGAATTTTCAGATCGAACCGGAAATGGAGGTCTCAAGTTTCAGTTGTTATATCAGATCGCATACAGGGAGTGTTGTTATATAAATCGTGAAATGTAGCGAACATTAAACCCAATACTATGATTTCTCCAGCCCCCCCCCCCCCCCCCCCCACACGAACTCGAAATGAGAACCTCTCCATCTAAGGAAGACTCATGTTTCGTGACTCCCGTTAATTTTCACCAGATCATCCGGTTATGACCAAACTACAATAATATCATCGGTCGTAAAAAAAAACATTTTACCAAAAAACAATTTCACGACCAACCGGAGATGATCCTATTTTTAGAACCCCCATCAGACTTTGCTCCGAATAAACCACCCTCAGCAGCAGCTCGGCTTCTCTGTTTTGTTTCTCCTTTCCCATAACGCGCGTAGTGGTTGATTATTTGATTTAATCTGTTCTGTAATAAATTTCTAGCTTGTCTAAGTTCAAGATCATACGACGGGAAGACCGTCACGAAGCCGCCAACGTCCATTGTAGGACGCAAATGTGTGCATCGTAGGCGCGGGTGCAGCACCATTAAATCATCACTCTCCCACCACGCCCATGTGCACATTTCATCGAATGTGTAAGAATGGACGGAAAAATTGCATTTTCAGAAGTCGCTCATGCGGGGTGGGAATCTTTTCCGACACTTACTTTGTTGTCGGTGTGTTTGTTGAAAGTAGAGCAACCTCTCACCTGGTCGTCGTCGACTGGCCCACGACTGGTGGACAGCATTCATACTCTCTGTGGAATGGTTTAATTACATGCGCGCAAGTTTGTGCTCAATCAGCATCATGTCGAAACTTTTTTTTTTTGAACCACGTTTATTTGAGTGGCTGCACACGTCCAAAAATCACTTTTCTTTGGCACTTTCGGGGCTACACTCCAAATAACGTTAACGTTTGATATTTGCCCCGTAACGAAATCGATCAAGTGCAGCTTGAAGGCGGCTCACTCAAGTGCAAAAGTTAATGACTTTCGTTCATCAGGGTAAGCCAGTGCCGGTGCCAACAAATGTCACCACCCAAATAGAATGCCACGAAACAAACGTCTCCAACTCTATATTAGCGATATTGCAAGTTGGGGGAAATTATTACGGTAGTAATTTAGAAATTAGCATTTATGAGACTATTTTAGTGCAGACCCAACCAAACAAGTGTGGGAAAGATTTATTGGATGACGCGAATGAAAGAATGCAAGTTTTGAGGCAAGTCATCATGGAGTAACCAACTAGTAAGCAATCGTGGAAATTTCAAGCTTTACCAAAATACTCTTAGGGAAGCATGGTGACCTTCGAAACGTCACACCAATTTTAACCAGTGTTTACATCTTTTCCGTACTAAAAATCTAGTTTCCGTGTGGCAATGCTCAATGCCAGTGAACTCAACCGAAAATGTAAATCGATCATAACCCGTTCGGCTCGTGTGCACTGTTAAAACGACAACCACAACACTCGACCGGAATTGCTGTATTTTGAGTGGTGGTGAAAGTTTCCACTCTAGCAAAACAGCAAAATTGTTTTCAAAGTATTTCTAATTTTAATAACATTTTCCACCGGCACATCCTTCTACCAGAGAGCGTACGTACCGCTGACCAATTTGTAATCCGGAGATTATTTTTATTTCAGGGTACGGTTACTGGATTTCGGCGAGGACGACAACGATGACCACGCACGGGGTGGTGGAAATTATTATATCTATGTGAACATGAACATGCGCTTACCTTGAAATCGGATAGTGAAGCCATTAGATCATCCAGCTCCTTGGTGGCCGACGAGGCGTAGTTGGACTGCTCATTTTGGGCAAGCTGCTGTTGATATACTGTGGAAGAGAACAAAGTGCATTGATTATTAAAACGTTATTAATATATGGAGGATTTCCGAATGTGTATCGAAAATTTCTGGAATTTTTGCTACTAGTTGAACAAATATTCGAATGTACGTTACAATGTCCATTTGGGTGCTCTGAGACGGACACATACGAGCATGATCTACATGCAATTTACAAGCATACAACACGGGAAATTCTGTTCAATGAAACGCATTTTTCCCCGAGCTAAATATATTTAACAGTCTCGGCGCGTTTAATTAACGTCACACGGTTGTTAAAATTTCATTCTTGACGTCAAAGATAGATTCCATCACGTGTAAAATTAATTTTTACAAAGTGTGTGTACAGTAGGGTGCTTCATTTTGAAAAAAAAACATATTTGCAATTATATAGGCCACCACATAGTTTGATACATATCCCCAAAATATTAGCCTGCGCAAAAAATGGTAAAGATTGATGAAAGTTTAGAGGTTGCGCAAATAGTTTGAAGTTTATATGAGGAGAGGATTACTATGGAACCAGTTTGAATTTCATAAATATCACTCTAACTTTGAGAGGCATCAATCGTATCCTTCTTAATAATATGTTTCGAGAAATTACTCGTTGATTAGTTTTGTATTTGTGAAAATAAAATCAAAATAATAAATAAAACTTTCACATATACTGTCAGATTACAAAAGAATAATAGGGCAGTTAGGCCAGTAGCGTGACCAAAATCATATTTTCTACAGAGCCGTAGGTAGGTCTTAAAAAAAATCTGCTCGGTTTACAGAGCACCAACTTTTTATGGTTTCTGTTTAGTTCTTGTTCCCACCGCCTAGAACAGTGGTGCTCATCCAATGGCCCGCAGAATGCTTTCAGTGTGTGGAATGTATGAAACTTATATCGAATTAAGATTGCTTTGGATTTCATATCAGAGTTCTTTTGGGAGTCTTTTTGGATTTCCTTCTTTTTAACTTTAAAATTATTTTCAAAATTCCTTATATTTTTTCAAATTTCCCTCGAATTTTTCATTATTTTCACATGATAATTTGTATCACAATTTCTTTCAAATTTTCCTAGAATTTCGTTACAAATTTTTTTTTAATTTTCCTAAATTTTCGCCAAAACTTCCATACACTACTCTCAGACAGGCATGGACAATCATTTGCATTCATTTCATGCATTCATTTACATTCCTGTGCCCCTAACTTTTTTCATCAACAGAATTCCGCAAAATGATGTATAGAGCTTTAGTAGCTACAACTTTTGTTAAGAACTTAAATCTGTATCTCTTATGTTAGCTCTGGTTCGTCATGCGTAAGAGATACGGATTTGAGTTTTTGACAAAAGTTGTAGCTAATAACAAAACCTACAAAAGTTCTATACACCATTTTGCGGAATTTTGTTGATGAAAAAAGTTAAGGGCAAATGAATGTAAATGAATGCATGAACTGAATGCAAATGATTTTCCATGCCTGCTCTCAGATGTGAGTTTAAATTTCCCTGGAATTAAACTCAAAACTACTGCTTCCTTGACGCAGTCGAAAATACTAGATTCTCCTTAACACCGTTTGGAAAATTCATGTTAATCTCTGCGAGATATAGCACACATCAAATTAACGCTATATTTGGCGTAAATTTACACGATTAATTTAAATTAGCAATATTGTATGCAAGCTTGTAAACGATTTCGTTATTTATGCCAACTGTAGCTCAAAATTAAACGAGGGGAGATTTTACGGGATAGTTAAAATAAAATAAAAATCTGTGAAGTTTCCTTTGGAACCGAATAAACTTCAAATACAGATTCCTTTCAAATTCTTATCACAATTCTTTTGAAATTAATGTCAGAATTTCTAAGAAGTTCTCGTCAGCATTGCTTTGGAACTCTTGTAAGAATTTATTTTAAGTTTTGATTATTTGAATATTTTTTGAAATTATCCTCTTAATTATCTTCGAGTTCTTCTCGGAGATTCTTTGAAATTTTTCTAGAAATTTTCTCACAATGCTCTTGGAATTATCCTCAGAATTACCATGCAGCTGTACCTACTTATAACTACCTTTAAATTGCCAAAAATATATCTCCCTGAACCTTTCCTCACAAAGTCTTTCAATTTCTTTTCAGAATTATTTTCTAGACTCATCGGAATTCCTTTAGAATACTTCCCAGAATTCCTTAGGAGTTCTCTTAGAAATAACCGTTGGATTTCCAAGTTCCAAGTTCAAGACACATCCTAAGTTTTTTTTTCGATGTAAAGGCTTCCAAAAGAATTTCTTACTACAATTTTTCACTTTCCAAAATTCAACCGTGTTAAACAATGGCGTTCAGTATAGCAGCCTTCTGATAATTTTCATGATTTTATAGCTCGGAAAACTTCTTAAGTCTTAATGAGGCATTGTAAATCTTTCAAGATATCCAACTTCAAACTATTAACTTAATTTCAGAGCTCATAAAATCTGTTACAATTTCATAGAAACAATATTTTTTTATGATTCGTGATCTAAATGGTTTTTTTAAGATCTAAAATTTAATTTGTTATTGATGCAATGAATTATGAGGAAAGTTGCTAAATGCTAAATAAAAAAAAATATTTTAATTGTTTTAGCTTTTCTCCCTTGGCTGTTTTCGCCATCCCTTTACTATGGTGCTGAGTATGGCCAGCACTTTACGTACAAACTTGCAATATGGCTGGGCACCACTGGCGAAGAATGCACTTGATTTTATCTTAGCGTCCTAGGGAGAGTGTTTCTTGGATAAAATTGTGCATTTCATAATATTTAGAAATTTTGCCTTTTTGATGACTTATGATTTACAAAAAGCATGCCACATAAAAAAAAAATTCCGCTTTAAAGGCGTTTTCATAATGTTTACGTCTAAAATTGCGATACTTTCGGGTTGCGATAAGATGGAGTAATAGACTGGCCCACATTTATATGGTAGAAATTTGTTCATTTTTTTTTCAACGGGCCAACCCATAGATTTGTGCCATTAGGTGAGAAAACCACTCTCTGAAAATTACAGGTCATTCGGATGTAACACAAGCTGGCGCTTTTGATTTAAAGTTTATAAGGGGATATTGGTTGAAATGTATGGAGAAATAACATTCCTATACTCTTTCGTACATAGAACAGGATTAGCACACACGATTAAGCTCAGAATTTCAGCACACGTAGCTTAAACTGTAAGGAACAACTTAGCTCAAGACAGCATCGCGATTAAAGTTAGTATTATCGAGATATTAATTAATTATGTGCATTCTGCTCGTATCTTGCACAAAATACAGGCAGCTTGTGTAACGTATCAACTAGTTTGCCACTAAAAATAAAAGTTCATATTTTCCACAGGCCAACATCTGAACTCATGTCAGTAGGTTAGATAACCACTCTCAGAATGTTTCAGCGGTTTTTAACGTAACACGGACTGGTGTTTTTGGTTTAATGTTTATATATGGGATTTGGCTCTGTTTTTCACATACAAAATGCTCATATACATTCAAAAGCGAATATCTCAATAAACTGACAGGATTCATGATGCAATCTTCAGCAAAGTTGTTACTCGTTAATTGAACTACAAAATTTAAAAATCTGAATCAAATCGAGAATAAGGAAACTATTTTATGATCGATAGAGTGCAGGAGTGTCATTTTTTCATGCGCCAGCTTGTGTTACATCCGAATGAGCTGAAATTTTCAGAGAGTGGTTTTCTCACCTAATGGCACAAATGTAGGGGTTGGCCCGTGGAAAATTAGAACTTTTATTTTTGTGGGCCAGTCTAATGGATCAACCAGGTGGAAGGAAACCTACTAAGCATTTCGTAATACGATATTGGTAATTCGTTTCTTCCAGTTCTTCATTACGAACCACTCACGTTGGTGAAGATTGTGATCTGCATTGAACAGTGTTCTATAATATTTACGTTCGGTGAATTTTTGAACTAAGTGTGTGTGTGTGTTTTTACGATGCATAATGACTGAAACTAGAAAAAAAATGAGTTGTACAAATTAGTTATTCATATATAGACTGAACCCAATCAGTATTTATATCAAGGCTTTAAAGCATTCTATCAGTTCAAATCATGGGCAACAAGACTGTGAAAAATCAAAATTGCTATTTGAGAAATTGGTTTTCCTAAATGTGGAAATAATCATAAGAATATGTATTTCAATTATGACCACTGCTCAAGATAGATTAAAATGAGTGAAACATAATTGAGGGATGCTATAAGTCAGCCTTATTTGGTTGCTGGTCATGAATATTAAGTACGAAATATTCATGCAAATTGATATCAACACTTCTATTAACAAATTCGCAAGTATGAGAAGTCGTAAACAGATTTAGTATATTCAGTTTAAATGTGTTTTATAATAAAATCAGGTTACAAGAAATTTTTAAACAAAAATGTATTGCAGCAAGTACCTATTTTTATCTCATGCGTGTAAGAATAAAAAAAAAAGAATTCAAATCATAGCCCGCAATAAAAAAAATAGACCAGGGACATATGATATCCATCCTTTTTTTTAATGAAAATGAGGTTAAGACGGGCCTGCTAACAGCTGATATTTTTTCCAATGTGTGCTTAATATGACACTGACATACTATCCTGGTTTTGAAGCGGAATATTTGGAAGCAATTCAAGAATTAATTTTAATGGTGAAAACATTACAAAATATGGTAAACTGATAGTTGAATATGTGCCTGACAACAACACCAATTTCATCACAACATCGACAGGCTTGTTGATCGTTGTCATCATGCCAACCACATATTCAATTTTGACAGCATTCGTAATTCACCCTAATCTGCATATCGTTGGTTTCAAGCAACACTGTCACAACGCAAACTCTGTGAATTTTCACAATCAACGTTTCAAAATTTGAGTTCAAAAAAACATCTGCATTTCTGTGTTAAGTTACAATGTTATGAATCTTTTCATTTCCATTGGACTGACTGAATCGCGTTTCATTCATTCTATCAAATATTAGATAAAAAATAAACAGTTCAACGATTTATACTACTTTTTATTTGAGGTGCAAAAATGGGTTTACTTTTTTGAGTTGTGACTGTATTGCATGAAAAAAAAAACAACATGCTAAAAGGCAGCAAAATTCAATATTTATATGTGCAACATAGGCCCAACTCAAAATGTTCTCTTTGACCGTTTTAAAAAAGTAACAAAGGCGCAGCTACCTATATCTGTCGATATTCCGTGAATTTCAAAATAGGTTTTTGTGAGATGAAATTTCACACTATTTGCCGTCATATTCCATCAAAATTAAAAAAATTATATTTTCATTTACAACCCATTTGCGCAACCTCAAAACTTTTATCAATCTTTACCATATCTTTATCAGGTTTATACTTTGGGGTTATGAATCCAGTCTATTAGATTGTAAATACTTATTTTTTCAAATTGAAGCACTCATGAATGTGACGTAAATCCCTTCAGTGAATTATTCAGAAAACAGATACTATTATTGCGAAAGTTATCAAAATTATTACTGGACCTGTGATCTTTTTTTTTTTTGAGACCGTTCGTAGTTGCTCTTCCGTGATTGATCAGAACGATTCTATAACATTCCCCAGAAAACCATCCCCCCGAAAACCATTCCCCAGAAAACCATTCCCCAGAATCTCATTCCCCAGAATGCACCATTCCCCAGAAAAGTAGGCCATGTATTAGATTGACTATTTTTGTTTATTATAGTCACTTCTGGAATCTTCTTTCGCGTATATAAAAAGAATAGAAAAACTTCTTAATTGATCAAGGGGTTTTCCCTTCTTTAAAAATATAACAAAAGGAAATAATTAATTCTTTGGTTATACGATAAAGAAGGGAATATTCCCTTCTTTTGATATATAAGGAAAATATATAATCAATAGTTTTTCGCAAAGGATTCGGGGTAATGCCCATTCGGGATAACCACACAATAATGTTATAAATTTGTAATCGGTAGTTCAACGTTTCATGCACCGATTTTTTAATCCATCACGAGAAATTCTTTAACTCAGGTCGAACAATGCTTCGATAATAATAGACCCTTTGACTTTTTAAATGATGAACGAAGTGCTCGAAAACTTGAAGGTTGTCATTTTCTAAAGAGCTATAAAATGGTTTGGAATTGGTAAATACATAGTTCCATAACAGTAAATGTAGTGTATCATCAATAGTAAAGTGAAACTAATCAGAGAGTTTTATCATGAAAAATATATTAAATCAAAAGTGTAACATTTATCGAGAAAATTGATTTTATAATATAAAACTGAAATATAATATCAAATGACCAAAAACAAAAGTGATAAGTTACTAATTTTATCATCTTTTCTGGGGCATGGTACATTCTGGGGAATGCTTTTCTGGGGAATGATGCATTCTGGGGAATGGTGCATTCTGGGGAATGGAATTCTGGGGAATGGAATTCTGGGGAATGGAATTCTGGGGAATGGAATTCTGGGGAATGGAATTCTGGGGAATGGTGCATTCTGGGGAATGGTTTTCTGGGGAATGTGATAGAATCATCAGAACTAATGCACTTGGCTTTCCATCTGTAATATACAATCATACTAATTCAAACTATGAATAAATCAATAATCACAGCGCTGGCCACGTCCTCACGGTTTTTTTGTTTTGGGGAGGGAAGGATGATTATTTTAACGGCTGTTGAGAGACCGAATACAGCTCTGCATCCCCACAGCTTTCATGGGAAGGCTAGTTATTTTAGCGAGATGAATTATTTTTAGATCAGGAGTCACTGTGGTAATCAGCTAATCCAAACACATAAAGCAACCAACGACACATACAAAACTCTTGCTACTACTACCACGATAAACTACGATCATTTCGATAAATGAAATAATTTGCCTCCTTTTTAACCTTACGGTCAGGTTTAAGGAACGTTTCAGTTATAACAGCAATATGCACGTTGTGAACTCTCAAAAAGTTAAATTGATCGTTCTCATTATCTTTAAGAGATTTAAGCATTCCAATTCAAAATATTTAATGATTTAAAATCCATTGCTGAATTTCAAAGTCATTGCGATATTGTTCGCAACTTTAACTCCAGTTTGAATAGCATCAAACATGAAGTTTGTTTTCAGCACATCGGTAATCATGTCAATTAATGATTTCTGTAAAAATTCCATTTTAAGCGCAGTAATGCTTCCTACTTCAAAATTATCAAAATTAGAATTATGTTGGCTAGAATTTTGATTTCTACCAGCTGTAATAGCAGCATCGATAGCTCCGTTTACATTGTAAGTACATTGTAAGTACTGAGAGGAGCTGGTATAGATGAAGAATTTGAAGTATGGGTGATGTTTGCACCTACGGGTACGAATGAAGAATTTGTTTCTCGCTGACGGTTGTTAACAGCAGAGGAATTTGCGCTTAGAACGAGATTGTAGGATCGCTTGGCGAATTTGTAGTTTTCATCACAATTTGAACATTTAAATTTTTTAGGATCTTCCTTTGCTCGAAAGAAATCACCACAATTCATGCATTTAGCAGGCATGTAGCAATTTTTTGTTCCGTGACCCCATCCCTGGCACTTACGGCACTGGGTGAGGTTTTGGAAATTACCTCCAGTATTCCTGTGTTCCCACTTCACTCGGATATGGAAAATAAGGTTAGCTTTTTCTAAGGCCTTAAGGTTGTTTAGGTCACTAGACTTGAAGTGAACTAAATCAAAATCATTAGAAATACCGTTGCGCGAATCGCCAGGACGGGATTTCATTTTCATTTTGATTACTTGGACAGGCTCAACTCCAAGTAATTTTCTCATTTCATCTTTGATCTAATCCAGGGATTCAGCACTGGGAAGACCTTTCAAGACAACCTTGAACAAACGTTCAGCGTTGGTGTCGTAAGTAAAACAATAGTGTTGATTCTCAGTAAGGTACTTGAGAAGACGTTTGAATCCGTCCAAGGTTTCAGTCAATACACGGTAATCACCCCGACGGCCAATTTGAAGTTAAAACTGAAACTGAACGAAATTCAAAAGTTGCTTGCGAAGAGCATGGAAATCGGAAGTGGTTACAACAATAGGGGGAACCTTTTCCTTTTTGACATGGAGCCGGGAATGTTTAATGGAGTTTTGCCTGGATAATGAATCATTCTCATCATCCGTAAGCATATGGAGGTAGAACCAACTTTCCCCAAATAGACTTCCAAATAGATATCTATAAGAATCTGAATGATCGAAGAGGAATTTTCCAAGCGATATCCAAGCAGGATTATCTCGGGTAGGGTCCAAACAAGGAACGAAGAGGAATATTAAAAAAGAAAATTATACTTTTTCTCCGAATTGATTTCCAAGCAATTGATAAGAATCTGAAGGATCGAAAAGGCATTTTTCAAGCCGATGGCTAAGCAAAATTTCCTGAGGTAGGGTCCAAACAAGGATCGAAGAAGAATAAGAGTCAAACAAGGTAGAAACTTTACAGGCTGAGCACAGAAAAGTACTGTTTACCTTTTGTGTAGCTTTAGGTACCAGTAACACTTCCTTCAGCAAAAAGCAAATAGATCCGCACGGCAAAAGAACACCTCCTTCTTTAAGCGCTGGAATAGGCTTTTTTCAAAATTTTTGTGAGTTTTCAAAAGGTTTTGGAACTTGGGTTTAATTTCGAAACATTATTTTCAAACGTTTTGTTCCTCAGGGCAGAGAATCGCTTTTTAATTTGTTTTTGAAAATCCCGCCAGATAACTTTCTTTGCAGGATCGCATATTCTTTGATATTGCCTCCTACGGACATTTTTAAGACGGATCAAGAGCTGAAGATCACATTTTGGTACTGAGGCAGCTCTTGCTTCAACTATAGAAGTAGTCAGAGATTCAAGAGCATAATTAATTTCATCTTTGGTTTACACAGGAATGTTTGGATCAATGTTAAATGTTCGGAATTGCTACCATGAATGTTTTGAGTTGGTTGTGGGGGACAAACATATAAATTTTTAATTCTGAAAAAAAACTCTAACCCTTTTGACTAAAACGCAAAAGGCTTTGAAATATTTTTTGCCTCATAATGATTCAAGACCATTTACAAGGGCCCATTTGACAACTCTATGGAACATGGAATTGCTACAATTAATGTTTTGAGTTGGCTGTGAGCAGAGCTTAAGATTATTGACTGCTCAGGCAGAATGTGAAAGCACTGCACAAACGATGCCAGACTTACAGGGCACCCTTTTTTTATTTTATCCATAATAATATTTTGTGAAGCTACGATTAATGCAATAACTAGTTGATTTTTGAAACTATGTTTCTGCCTAAACAGATTAAAACAATTTTATTATAATTTAAGTTACAACGAATTAAAAAGGATAATGTTTATTTTTTCGTGTAAATTTGGCATCGTTGCACTGCACTGTTATTCAATTAATTACTCTATCCACAACGTTTGTACCCCACGGTAGAGAACAAGGCAATGAAAGAGCAAACAAAAACATTCGTTCACTCATGAAAAGGCGCTTCACAACCAACGATGCCATGTATCCTGGACACGGAGAAAGTTGGGACCCCTTGGTTTATTATAATACCGTAAGGATCTGGAACAAGTTTGTTAGAACTATTTTTTAAGGTATCAAAATAAACATTGGTGGTCCCCCACCAATTCAAAAGGAATTCAATACCGTTCTATGGGACGCTGATGCGCTTTAACCTTTATCAGAAAATATTAATGATCAATCATTAAATCATGATCATCAAACAAGGTGAAAAATACCATTAACCTTTAGAGGCAGTTTATAAACCACGTAGGAACGCTATGGAGAGGAGAGGTTGACGATTGTGTAGGGTCTATGCTATACAAAATTTGTATGGACGAATGGCTTCGGGGGGGGGGGGGGGGGGGAGTGACTTCTGTCTACGTAGTTTATGAACAGCCCCTTATGTGCATGAAACGGTACCCAGCTCCAATTTGAATAACACGATGTAGATAAAAGCGAAAAAATTCCTCGCATAAATCCTTCTGCACTGGACCCCAAGATTTCAGTGATTAGTACTTACATTGATTCTGATAGTTGGCACTCGGTGTTCCGGATAATTTTTCGGTAGTAGTTTCTCGTACCGTGATAGTAACCTGCCTGCCTGGATTCGGCTGTGGGTTGGGAGATTGATTCCTAAAATATGGAAGAATTTATGCAATTTAGAATTTGCTTTCTGACTTGAACCGAAAGCTACACCCACCCATAGGGCACTGCGTAAATTGGATTGGCATTGGCATTGCTAAGCTCATCAAGCAGACTGTCCACGGAGGGTCGCTTGATGGTATCGTTGATGGCATACGGCGAAGGACTAGTCGTTCCATTGTTGGGTGGATCTACGCAAAAATTTAATAGGAATGAACAGTCAACTACTGTAGCGCAATTCGATATGCATCAAGACTTACGTTTTTCCATAATGTTTCCATAGCGGGCACTACTTAGATCTTGTAACAATGAGTCCAGCTCCGAGAGATTCCCAGATGTAGAGGCCTGCAGCCTCTGGGGTGTGGAGGACCGGGGCATTGAGTTCTGATGGGGTGTTGTAGATCGCGGCAGGGAGCCATTGTACCCATTGGCCGCTCGACTTTCGGTGATAGTTTTCGTAGCTGTTTGATATGTTTGCTGGAATGGGAAGAAGGTAAAATATCTTATATCAGTAATTGTATGGATCCCAAGACAGAAAATTCATGCTATACCCTACGTGTGTTTCATTTCCCGGCCATTTTTTGTTCCCGGTAAATATTTTAGTTCAGTGAACAGAAAAGTACAAAGTTGAATTCATTACAGTTACTCATAAGACATTTTTAATTTGCTTCTGAGCTCCACACAAAATAGCAAACAAAAATAATTTTTTGAATCGTCCTTTTCCGATTTTTGTTAAAAAATTTCCACTCTGGATCCTGTAATTTATTTCAAAATGCCGTCTTTGACAATTTTCAATAATTTGTAGAACGAAAACATGACATCTGATCGTAATGACGTCTGAGACAAAGTTGTAGAGAAAAGTAAAGTTTTTCTAGGCAAAGAAGAATACATGATGAAATATATTTAACAATTTTGAGTTTCCTATAAAGTGTTAAAAACTGAAATATATCAAAATATCTTTTTCGATTTTTTTTTATTTTAACAAAATTTAACGTTTACGTTTTTTTCCTATAAAGACTCTATTCTTTTCAACTTTGTTTTCATACAAAAACTGATAGGCCCTTTTCATTTATTGGTCGAGAAAGTTTCATGCAAACCGGAGAAGATCGAGTCTAATCAATTATGTCATTTGGCGTGGAACAACTCTTCTGCAGAACGATGCATAAAGTATTTATAACAATTAATATATTTGCAATGTGTAAATTCGAGTTACTCATATTTACTCAAAAATAAACAAAGTAGTTTAATATTTTTCATCAAATGATGTTCAAACTATCACCGTCTGATAGAATATTTTAATTTCAAGATTTAGTTTTCTTTCATTAAAAAATCCAATTTAGATGGCTCTTGTCCAGGCCTTTTATGTTTCTGGTGATTTGGTGGAGTTAGTGTTTCCATTTCGCGGCCATTTCTGGCTACCCGGAAATCGGGAAATAGCTGGAGACTCTTCTCGGCAATTCCCGGGAGTCGGGAAATATTTTTATCCAGTGACCAGATATAATTTTCGATAGTTATTTATTAAAATTTGAACTTCTCCAGGATTCAAGGAAATTTCACTTGAAGATTTCGACCAGCTTCTTTGGAATGATTATTATGATTTCTCTGAGAAGTTTCATCAGACTTTGCTTGGAAGTTTCTTCCAACATCTTCTGGAAGTTTTGTGTCTAAATCTGCATGAAATTCCTTTCATGTTTTCTTGGAATTCTCTTCCAACTTCACCCGGGAATTTCTCACAGATTGTCTCAGAAGCGTCTACCGGTTTCGTTTGGAAGGTTCTTCGCCAGGAAGCTTTTCTGACATCGCACTAAAAATTCGTCAAACTTTCTCCGGAACTTTCTATCATCTATTTTCATTCTATTTTCCTCAACAAATTTTCCAACTTTATCCGGAAGTTTCTTCCACCTTTCCTTACAGTGATGTATTTCTACATCATCAAATATTCATTTTACTTAATTCACTCCGAAAATTTTTCTGACATCCCCTGGAAGATTCTAAAGGCTTCACCTTGAAGTTTCTTCAGTCCTTTTGGCATCCCCTGGAAGCGTCTTCCAATTTCCACGGGAAGTATTTTCGAAGTTCCCCTGCAAATTTGGGTTGTGTGGTCATTAAAAAAAAATGTTTAGCATGGTTTTTGACTAAGCAAAACTGTTTGCCGGGAAGTCAAACTATTTTCCTGGAAATCGGGAAATGATAATTCTGGTCAAATTCTGGAATTTCGTCAAATATTTTCAGAAAATGATGTTTAGCTCATGAAAACTAATACTTAATCTCACAAAACCAGTCAAAGAGGTTTCTCATCTTGTTGCATTACATGTCTGAAAAATGAGGAAACTCATCATTAATACAAATTATTAATAATTACGGCGTACCGTGATAAGCAAAATTATATTTACAAGCATCCACACAGATATACATTTTTGAGAATATTTAGCTAGAAAAACTCAAGTAACAATTTTGGTTTTATGAGGGTTCTGTAGACCATGATTTAGACTTGTAGAATGCTATAAAACCGCGATAAATATCACTTGTCAGAAGTCAGAGTAAGGGTCAACTCTATCCAGAAACTGCCGTTGTTTCCCTTGATTCTCCTGCAAAAAGACATCAATAGGCACGAGTTGAAAAAGGTGAACAGGAACGGGTTTAATTTTCATCGTCTGGTGTTGTTGTGATGATCCATATTAAAATCATAATCAAAACAGGTTAGTTCTGGCAAACTTCATAGTTGATTCTGTTCTTAAACTTATATGAAGTTTGTCAATGAGCGATCGTCGAAGGGATGCAGAAACCATCACATCTCATTTTTTATACTGGGATTGTCCAGAATCTCCCGTTAGATTGACTGTAATTCTCCCTGTTATTGTCCGGAATCCCTTCTGGGATTGCTTGTAATTCCCCCCTGGACTGTTATAAATCCCCCTCAATATTGACTGAAATCCTTCCTGGAATTTTTCGGATTCTCCCCTGGGGTTGTCCGAGGTCCCCTTTGATATTGTTGGGAAGTCGCACATTATCTAAAATCCCTCCTAGGCTTATTCAGAGTCTCTCCTGAGACTGTTATAAATCCCTTTTATGACTGGAATCCTCCCAGGGATTGTACAGGATCTCCCTGGAATTGTCTATCAGAATCTGTACGGCGCTGTTGCTAATGATTGTAGTACTCGAACGTAATCGGCATGGTAGTAAAGCAAAACATCTCTGGCTGATCCGTATGGTCACTACAAAAAATCTTCCATGTAATTTGAGGGGACAGCTTGTAGTTACTTTCGTACACATGCAATACAAAAGTACAATTGACACTCCATTACCGAAATATCTTCCCGGTTAAGTATTACAGGCACACCGATTAAAATGTTGTTGATATACGTAAAATTGCTTTACTTGACATACTCGGTTGCTATGTGTAAATATTTGATGTTTAGCGACGAGAGTTACTCGAATTAACTCCAATTTTACTCATGATCAAAAACTGTCTTGCCCCAAAGTATGGAATAGTTTAACCACTTAATTTTAACCCTGAATATAAATCCGAATTCTCCCAAAAGTCTCTTCCAACTTTCCAAGAAATTTTCATTTCTGATTTCATCAAAAGCTTCTTCCAGGAGTACTTCTAACTTCCACGATAGCTACTTTTGACTTCCTCTGGAAGGTTCATTCAACTTCTTCAGCTAATTTCTTTAAACTTTCGTTGGAAGTTTCTATTCAATCGTTTTAACTACCCCAGAATTCGACATCCCGGAAGCTTCTTCCAACTTCTTTAATTTTTCTTTTTAGCTTCGTATAGAAATGACTTCCAATTTCCTGTAAAGTTTTTCCTGGTCTTCCCCGGGAATTTTTTCTGGGTCTTCATATTCCTCTGGAAGTTAATCCAAACATTCTTTTTAGAAGCTTTTTTTTTACTCTTCTGGAATTTCTTTTGTAATATTGACTCAAAAACCCTTCAAAAATTTTTTCTCAGAAAACACATTTCCGGGAATAGGGAAACGCGATGTTTGGTAAATTTCCCTGTTTGCCCCGGGCAGGAAACACTATGCACACTAGAAGATACTGTTAATACCACGTAAGAATAAATGTATCTATACAGACCAAACAGGTATCATAAATGATTTAAATTATCGGTGGTGATGTGTGCACCTCAAAAGCATGAAAACCTTCCGGTCCATTTTCTTATAAACCGACACTTTCCTTACAACAGGCGAATGTCCGTAAATTCACGAAAACAGAGCAAGTCATACAACCTTGCACAACACCTGAGTCCAAGCGGCAACCGGTCGGTCCATCGCAAGTTAATTTTAGCTTTCCCCCATAATTCGCACCCGCGGCCGCGCTGGCTGGCACCATACGTACCTAATCAAATCATCAAAGGTTCCACCGACACCATCCCGTGTAGCCACATCAATTTGGACCGACTCCAAAAACGGAATGACTTCAGCAGTAGAGTGCGTGTGCACCTACCACACACTGGTGCCTGGCGCCTACAGGTAGACAACCGTAATAACACTTGTCGCGCCGAAAAGTGAATCACGGTCACAGAAACTAGCTCTCGCCGGCGCGGCGCGACATCGAAACGGAAGTTGACCAACTGCCATCATCACCGTCGTCGTCGTCGTCGTCGTTGTCGTCATCGATTGAGTAGCGAAGGTTTGCTGATGAATCAACCACCTCACACCCCACCATCCCTGACCGACCGACGAACACGAAACGTAGTTCTTGAATTGTATATTTACACTAAGAGGCATGCAATCACAATCACCGCCCCCCCCATCTCCTTTCTTTGTGCTAGCTAGGTGACAATGGACATCAACCAACTTTGCATAAAGGACGGAAGAAATTTCCCGAAATCAGACAATAAATGTGTCATCAAAAACTATTAAAATAATTCCTCCTGACTGGCAGAAGATGAGAGAGTGAGGTTGTGCAATCGAATCGAATGTTTTTGACACCTCGTTAAATGTGTTGGGATTTAACCGCTCTCGGTGTCCACCGCTTGGTAATAGGCAGTGAAGAATGTCGGTAAACATAACGAGTTTAGGAGACTTTGAGATGAAAGGAATTGGCGATGAAATTGAATTGAGTGTGAAATATTTCGAATTGTTTCGATGACTTTGATAACGGCAGTATGAAAATTGAATATTGGTTTCGGCAACGTGGGGCTTTAGGTAGTGATGAAACGTCGCTAGAACTATTCCACAGCCGCAGACAGTATTTGAGCAAAGTCAAGTGCACACTTTTTGCCTGTAGATTTGAAGACATCGTACGGGTTAGGCAAAGAGTGTGCGTTTTTACTTGCACTGTCGCATTAATGGCCCTTCGCTCATTTTCAACTTCTATTCAATTTCCATACTACCGTACTCTAACGGAACTATCTACCTACCCTTTTCTAAGACCATTATCTAGCTAATAAATTATCACACTAAAGCTTCATGTTAGATAGCATTTCCAACCAACTTTGAAAATCGCATACTTCGTGTATGAAGAAACATAAAAACACTTTGAATGCAACAACTCAAGGCGCGAGTAGCCGTCAACAATGGTGATGATGGTTAATACAGCACGCAACAACCACCCTACTGCATTCTCTCTGAGATGCAACAACCACCCTACTGCATTCTCTCTTAGATGATAACGTTGGCCATGACGAGAGGAGCAACACAATAGTTGGGTAAAGAAGAATTGCATTATAACACACCATCGACTGGAAATGCTTTCGGCTACGTGGGGCTTTAGATAGTGATGAAACGTCGCTAGAACTATTCCACAGTCGCAGACAGTATTTGAGCAAAGCCAAGCGCATACTTTTTGCCTGTAGATTTGAAGACATACTTCAAATCTCCGCGTACATCGTACGGTTTGGTAAAGATTGTGCATTTGACTTCCACTGTCGCATAAATGGCTCTTGGCTCATTTTCAACTTCTATTCAATTTTCATACTGCCTCTTTCTACCTACTCTCTTCTAAGACCATTTTCTAGCTAAGAAATTATTACACTAAAGCTTCATGTTAGATAGCATTTCCAACCAACTCAAAAAAAAACTGTTAAGCTTCATTAGCAAAAAAGAGCTATTTAAAAAAATTTAAACTTACATTTTATACTAAAGTTTATCATAAATCGTACCTAACTTTTAATATATTTGACAAATCAGTGCTGAGTTTTTTCATTGGAACAGACAAATTTCACGGGATATTGACAAAAATATGTCTGACATTGTCACTGGAAGAATTGACTCTCCTCTTAACCTTCGTCAAAATCTCATTCATTGTTTTACCCGTGAAAGAGTTCTCGTTCACATTATTGTTAAAAATGCAGTTGAGGACGTAGAAGCATGTTTACATTGACAGCTCTATGTATTTATTATACTTAATCCATTTATTTTTTTTTTAGAAATTTAACTCACAGGAAAACATACACATGTTCGTCACTGACAAATAACATGGCATCATTTTAATTTCGTGATAGTGATGAAAGCTGTTTTAACAATATCGTCATGAACGGTCGAGATTTTGCAGCACTGGACACAATAGACAGTTTTAAATTGACCAACATCGTAGAACATCGCTCAAAATCGTTGTAGTTTGTGCGTATGAAACGCCCTGTTGACTGTCTATCCGTTCGACCTGTTGTCAGACTAGCTTTTTCGACTTTTGTCCAATCGGCAATTAGATTTTCGACCTTTTGTCATACAACTCGTTGCACAGTGGTTCGAAACCAAAAAAAAAGGGTGTTCGTTTAAGATTTGAGCGGAAACAATAGATTATGAGTATGTGGTGTATTTGTCATTTATCGACCAGCCATTCCATTGCAAAACGATATAGTGGTTATAAGTATTTCGTCAAAATTGGTAATTTTGTTCCTTATCGCAAAATATTAGACCCCTATTTTTTTTTTTTTTTTGTTAGGGTAACCATTAGACTGATGCAAAATTTGTAATTTTCGCTCCACAGTGTTCAAACGGTTTCAAATCGGGTCCTGATTAGCCTCCGAAAGTTTAAACTAATTTGATAAGAATCTGACTTGGCACAAACCATTTGAAGTTTATGTGGAAATTAGTATGGGAAAACAACATTTTGTGTTCATTGTCTTCTAGCCTTTTTACACATTGTACTGTTAACAAATTCTATTGCTATTCTTATGGGAATTTTTATCAGCTACAACTTTGCACAAAATCGTTTTCAGCCAAACGTCTAATTAAATAATTATTAATTGTTTAAGAGATCGATAATCTTATGGCAAGATTAAGCAACTGTATTGTGGGCAACACTGTATTCTGCAGTGTAACCTAGTAGCCATGATTTTTGTCCTCTATTCTACGCGCCATTAACACCAATGTTGCCTGCTGAACAGTTGATTGAGCATAATCATAAGACATCAGTGACTTGAATCATTAATAATTTTTGTTCCTTACATTTGATCGAAAAGTGGTCTTCAACAAAGTTGTAGCTGAGATTTTTCAATTTTTCAACAAGCTCAGCTATCATTTTCTAAAGTAGAGTGAACTGGTGAATTTTTAGATAGATATGAACCAAAATTATGGTTTCTCCATAGTAATTCCCATATAAGCTTCAAATAATGTGTGCCAAGTCAGTTTCTCACTAAATGAGTTCAAATTTTAAGAGGCTAATCAGGACCCAATTTGGAACCGTTTGAGGACTGTGGAGCGAAAATTTTAAATTTTGCATCAGTCTAGTGACCATTTCCATCATAGGGTGGTCCAAAAATCACTTTTATCAAAAACCGTGACTATGTTACAGTCGCTATAAATCAATGGAGACGCAGTGTAGTCTAGGCGCATAGGAGTATTGAGCGAAAACCCAAAAATTGATAACTTCAAAAAAATATAACTCAATAACAAACAAAAAACACATGGTTGATTTTTTGATATGTTGTGTGAAAAAGCCTCAATTTTCAAAGAAAAATATAAAAACATATTGCGCCCTCTGCCTATAATCCAAAAAAATCATAGAAAACAAATAAATACAATGTTTTCAATACAAAATCCCAATTTTTTAATATCATTATGTCTCCAAAAAAGTATTTTTAATTGCCTTTCATTTGATATTTTGATCTTCGAAATCAGCTAAGTGGTTCAAAAGTTATGATTTTTGGACCACTCTAACATGGAAATGGTCACCCTACAGGTATAATATTTTGCGATAAGGAACAAAACAATTAATTTTGGCGAGATGAACCGTCACACGGTCTAAGCCAGGGAAATAGGAGCAGCAAAAAAAAACAATTAATTTTTCCGAAATTCTGAGAACTACTAAATCGTTTTGCTATGGAATGTCTGAAAGGTATATCTAGGCAAACATCTATTATCTTTTATATATCCCCATAGAAATATAATGAAAAATCATTTGTTATAATCAATTGATGCCTTCAACAAAGTTTTTTAGCACATTGTTAGAAGGAAGTTTACTGAAGACAAGATTACCATCAGGTTGTAGACCTACACTATTTTAGTGCTAGCTTAAAGAGTTTGAGATATTCTGAAAAGCTATTTAAATGGCTAAATTACAAAACTTTGTTGATCGGACCACATGCGTTTAAAACTAAGTGGTAAATACTGTACAACCCTGAAGGATTTGTCTTTCCAATCCAGCTATAACCAACAACAGGCTACCCTAATTTGAAAACGTACGTTGACACGTCATAATGTATTATTATACATTTGAAGTATTCAATTCGGTTACTCTACCGTTAACAATAATGCCAGCATGTGTAAATATTGGTAAATATTGAAAACGACAAACTTTTGCACTACAGGGACAAACCAATCCATTATTACTCACCGGACTCGGCGTCTGCTTATTCCGCACACCATTCAGGCTACCATAGCCGGGAACCGATGAGCCACCGCCGGCATGTTGGTTGTGTCCCGGCACAGTGTTCTGCAAATCAGCAAGCAAAGCATCTAAAAGTAAAAATCAACCAAATTTGGCATTAGTTCTCAAATAGAAAATTACAGGTTATCAGCTACTCAAAAAAATACTCTTATCTTCTTTATCGGCGAACCGACACAAACGTGACGAAGAAGCGAAACTTCGATGCGTCACTCAAGATTGTAATTCTAAAATTCTACCTAGAAAATCTTGACAATTCTCCTGTACACTTTCGTAGGTTAACACTTCCGCTCCAGACATTACTACCCGATTACGATTTGTAATCCTTAAAAGACACGGGAGATAAACACGGAAAGCGAGACCACTTGCAGCACTCTTCTCGAAATGGGACTGACGCGAATGTCGCTTGCAAAAAGACTAAATTAGGGCCCTCACTCACTCTCTCTCTATCTCTCTCGATTTTCCAGCAATCGGTCTACAAGTGCTACTCCAGCGGCGGGAAGGAAACGTAAGTGTACGTATTTATATGATTTAAGGGTAAACAGACATAACTCCTTCGTGTGTTCGCGTCCGCCCCACCCGCTTGGCAGCGCAGCGAACGGTGGGTGTTCTTTTCTACACTCGTCGAACTTTGCCAATGGCGAATGTGCTATGTAGAATACATGGATGACGATGGGGATCATAATTCACGACATCCCCCTCCGACGACCACCGGACGAAAGCAGTGATGACACCGACGGCGTGAGCAATTGATGACGAATGTGACGGACTTGACGCTCTTCACAACTAACGAAGGCATACTGTTTTGACGCGCGCGCACTTTAAAGCGCAGTGCACAGTCGTCTAAATTGACTTTGGCTGAATGTTGGCGGTTCGGAGATAATCGTCGCGAGAGGAAGGAATTCTCTGAATACGCAGAAGGTACCCGAGCGGAGCTGAATATCAAAATTGTTCCTGAAGTTCTTTAAAATATATTACATGATTATTTTGAATCAAATTTAAGAGTGTTTTTTTTATAAATGCGCTTGGACCTTTCAAAATTTAACGTGTTCGTATCAACAAATGACAGACAGTTCTCCCTGAAAAGTGAGTCTGAATTTTCATCCTTTTAGGGACAATATCAAGCAAGGAAAAAATCCGGACACATTTTTTTTTAATTTCACTGAATTAAGCTAAGAGTGTATATAATCACAGTAGGCATTGGTTATCAGGATAAGTTCATTTATTTACATTATGGCTTCACCGGAGCAAGCACGTCGTGATTCGATCCAGCACGCTCTAAACGGAAATCCCGGTCTATCCGCTCCTGGCAGTTTTCGATCGAATTCCTGGCCAGTAATTTTATACCTCGGTTGACCGGAAGAACGAAACTTACGTTACTTCTGGGACCATGAACCAGCAAATTTGCCTACGGAAGCAACTACTGTCTTTTTCTGGAGCAGCATGAGGTACATTGCCTATTCTGGCCGGACTTGGCAAGCTGCCACTACTCAAATTCCAACAAACAGTGGTACAGCGAAAAAGGCGTCATGGTGGTTCGCAAGGAGATGAATCCGGCCTATACTCCGGAACTAAGGCCAATTGAGAAATACTGGTGAATTGTGAAGCACATACTGAAGGAAAAAGGTGCTGCAATTTACCTGAAGGATTTCAAGCTGGAATTGAATTTGGCAGCCAAACAAGTGGGAACAGGGCTCGGGGCTCGTACAAAAGATGATGGGTCGTGCACGAAGAAAATTTCGACCAACGGCCTATGGTAAGAAAGAAGACTGAAACAATAAGCCTTATACCGACTAATGTAACAGCTGTAACATTGAGGTATGAACAATAAAACGCATTTTTAAACCCCAAGATTTTCGTGTCCGGTTTTTTCGTATTCAACCTTTAGAGTGCTTCATAATTTAAAATGATCGATCCGTACTCAACCGGTTCCCCGGCCCTGAATAGCCTCGCAAAATTTGAACTCATTTCGGTAGTAACTGACTGTGCACATGACAATTACTAGAAATCCCAAAATTGTGGTTCATTGTCTTTTAACCTTTTACACATTGCCATAGCAAGGGGAAATGTATGTAATGTCGGCCTTAGTGTTCCTAATTTGGGCCCATACATAAATTCAGCAATCGACTAAATTTTCAATAGCAACCAAAAATATACATTAGTACCGTCCCAATGACGCGTTCATCTAGATAAAATTGACAAATAGCATATTTTTAGCGATGGGCCCAATCTTAGATCCATAGGCCAACATTAGAGCCATATCCCCTATATTCTTGTCGGAACTTTTTTCATCTACAACATTGCTGTATTCGATAAAGTATTCGGAAGAAAATCAAATTAGAGTAGTTTCATGCCAAATGACGAATCGATCTGACTCGACCTTCTCCGATTTGCATGAAACTTTGCATAATTGTTTGTTTTGCTCAAGTAACAATATGGGTTTTATGAAGGTTCTGTATACCATGATTTGGACTTGAAGAATGCCTTGAAAAAACTTGCAATGTTACTTGGGTTGAACAATCATTCACATTTTTGCCAAAATTCGAATTGAATTCCGTAAGAAAGTTCAAAATGACTTTTTTGATATTTTTCATTAGCCGAAAACGTAATTTCCAGTCGAAATGAGTCTGCGACAAAGTTATAGGAAAAAATCATTTCTTTTCAGAAAAATACGAAAGGAGTTTTTTTTTGAGTAAATATTGGTAAACAATTTTCAAATGTGACTGATTGACCAAAACAAGCAATCACGCAAAGTTTCATACTTATCGGTGAAGGTCGAGACTGAAATAATATTTATGCTATTTGGCCTGGAAGTGCTCATTATAGTCGAACAACATGATTCTGCGAAATCCCAATCAACATCAGTACATCAAATAGATATTATTCATCAAATTTTGGCATGACACAAAACAGTCCACGATTCAGTATCACCTCAAATTAGGACAGCTATCATGCTGGGCTCGAACATGACTGGAGAAAAACCGCACGCCGCCGGAAATGGGAACATAAACACTCGTAAATCTGCGATCGACATTTAATGCCGACACTTCAAACTGATCGATCACCTTTCTTCGATCAGTGTAACTTGATTGCTCGCGCACACTCTCTTTATCCACGCTCTCTGTGTGTGACTTCTATGTAAAGCACCGGTGTCCACAGGGAATACTGCCCCATCATCTAAACTCTAGACAGAGCAAACGTCAAACGCGGGACGGTTGCCTACGTCGTGCTTCGCATCTAGATGGAACTTAAGTGGTCAATGGAATTTCTCGATGGGAGAAATTTTACATAAATTGTCATTTGAACTTTAAGTGCACTGAATATTGAACGAGTGTTCAGTTAAGCATTCATTTTGAGAGACTAGTCCCGTTTCGTTCTCTGTTATAAATTAAAACATTCTCCAATTAATGCAGCAAAAATAAAACTGTCACAACGCTAATTGAAATATGACGAATTCCAGCGAGCACCACCAGAACAAAGACTCATGTTTATCCTCGGACCCTTTCTTTCTAGTGGATAAATTAGCGACGCTTAGGCGCCATCGAGCGAAAACAAAATTTCCAAACACTCTCAAATAACTTACTCAGATAATCCTCGAACGGTTCCTTCTGGTTGGGTTTCATTGCCGCTTTGGCCATCTCTCCCGGCACTTACTCCTGTTCTCAGTCCTGTCCTGTTGATGACAATGAAACTTCAGCCGAGAATCTGCAACACTCAGCAGACCATTCCGTCTGCAACGTATCACTTTCCTCTTCGGTTAACGGCTCACACTGGGATGCAGCTAAGGTAATGGCAATCAATGACTGTCTCCCGAGACGAGATAAATCACACCGATTCGCAGTGTATCACTCCACTACCGCACGACTGACCGTTAATGTTCAACAATGTATCGTTTTCTGTGGAAGCAATAAGACACCCACTGTCACGGTCACGTTCGATGTTGCTGTTTGTTTGGGCTCGAAGCATGAATGCAAGCGGTGATGAACCCCGCGCGTGCTGAATGGAACGGAATGATGTCACTTGGAAGAGAGTGAGACGGTGACAGAGAGATCTCCTTCTGCCTGAAGATGAGTGCATCTCTTCGTACTTTCGGATGCAGTGCAGAGCTTAGCCCTGGGTGCAATTAGAGGAAATTAACAACACTGACCGATCTTTGTACGATAGTGGCAGGCGTTATGATTGAGATATGATGGTATCGCTGCAAGGTTCAAATAGGTCAATATGGGCCACAACTGGTGTCACAATGAAGAGCTTACTTGAAAAAGTGCAATAACTTCGTAATTGCACTTTCAATTTGTAAGCATTCGATTGATTAAGACTTGCTCAGTCATTTACATTACATTACATTACAATTTCACAATTCCCCAATTATTTCAATAATAGTTCAAAGTTTTGATTATTGATTAAAGTACAGGAAATATGGCTTCACAAAATAGAAAATTCGAAACAAATTAATAGCCCTGTGAAAGAACTTACAGCATAAGGAATTCGTCAAAGACTAATGTAAATGACGGCTTCGGCTATATTTTTACCTATTATCGTCATGAGCGTAAATTAAGTCCTTGAGCACTAACTTTTTGCATGATGATTCATCATGTTTCAGAGCAGCGTTTGGCCAAAATTGAGCACTCAATGACGTTAATAGGTAAACGCATATCCCGGCATATCCTCTCCTATTTACTAACAATGTAGTGTCCTGATTTCCTGAAGTCTTGTGTCCTGTGCTCCGCTTGGCAAGTGGAATACTTGGAATAAATTTTAATGAAAGAATTTCGATTTTGATATCAGGCACAATCGATGCGACAAAGAAACTGCTTGACTTTTTTTTCCAGTTAGGGAAATCCACGCCGAATGACAAATCTATTTTACTTTATCCTATCCTAATTAAATGAAACTTCGCATAATTGTTTGCTAGGAGCAACGAACCAAGTTTGTGCTGCAATTCGCCCATTTTGACTACCGCCAATTTTTTCAAAATGGCGTATTCCATATTGTCAAATATACCATAGCAAAAAAAAGGATCATCCATTCGAAATAAAGTTTGACACAAAGGTGTGCGAAACTGGATTGC